AGTTTATTGCCTTCTATCTCTTAAAAATATTCCTATCTGTTCAATATATGTTCGATGTATTGGTGTAGCACTGAATTACTTATTGTTGTTTGATATTTGACTTAAGGCTATACATGATCGATTTCGTAACAGTTTGCTTAAAAAATATATAAACTTAAAATGTTACAGTTTATCCATTTATTATTCAATTCAGTATTTTAACATTTTCATTCGAGTTAAAGAATTAGGATTGTACAGTTGTTTAAAAAACGTTCAATGTTCCACTCGTTCATTTGTTTATCAGTTAAATCAAATTCAGTAACGTTACTATAAATAGATTTTTGCATACAAAACAGTTTACTTTGCAATAGCCAATAGTAATTCATGATGACAGTCAGATTGAAAGAGGAACTTTTAAAACGAGTAAACTGTCCTGTCTAACTTTATTTCTTAAGAATGAGGTAGATAAACTGACCCATTCATCCCTCGTCGGAGACAATGTTAATTTTGCTTTCCCGAAAATTCAGAGTAATTCTGGAGTAAGTCCTGAAAGCCTATTCACATAAAACATAATAAAAAAGAAGGTGAACCAAAGTCACGGCAGTTGCTGAAGGTTACTGAAATGAAAACACTTAACATAGAAAAAGGGTTAGCCAGAACATAGATCAAAAAGCTGATCAGATGAGTATAAATGGATAATGCTACTTATTAGCTATATGTTGCTCAATTGACAAGGCTTCAACATTATATAGAGAAATCAGTATTTATGACATAATGCTATTGAAAAGGTTACTTGTAGATTTTTACGGTGTAAAATTTATGTAAAACAGTTGTTCTTATATGCATCTGAGAACATATAAACAAGGGGACTTGTAAATCAATGACAACAAAGAAATAAACTACACGACTAGTCGTAATTAATAACAAGCATGATGATAAACAAATGGCCTTGATTAATTCTAATATTTTTCACAGTATACACATAGATGTGATTGTATACAAAGATAATGAATAACGAAGATATAATTGAAAACAATGTTGTTCACTTACATGAGTTGTTCTAGTTTACACTATAAAAGTTTTGATTATTTTAAGTATTTCAAAACAGTACCATTACTGTTTACCGGGAAAAATTCCGATAAAGTTAGTCTAAGTTAAAGATATTGGAACACCATTTTTCTTAATCTCACTTGCGAAAACAGCTTAACGGTTAATGTACTGTACCACCGACAACATTCCATTCAATAGTAGCTCTAACTGCGTGACAGTATGACAAAATAATTATTTTCAGAGATTGGCGCTACAAAAAAAGGCTGCTGCTTAGGACAGTTATTGTTTATCTGGACAAATAAACAATCCAACATTCCATACATATTGTTGTAAATGCACAAATTGAAGATATATGATATAACAATATATTCTCTAAGCAAATCATCATACGAATCATGCACTAATTAGGTATATTTTTCATTAATGAAAAATAATGACATTAAACTACGAAACACATACTAACTTTTCTACATTTAATATTCCACACTGAAAATTCGGATAACGATATTTTATCAGTGGAACAATGTAATACTAATGTGCGTTGGTTTTATTTATAAAAAGTGCGTTGGTTTCAGAAAAGAAATAATAAAACTAACGATAGCAGTAACAACTTTAGTGGCTTTTAAGAAATCTTATATAGTATCACTAATTGTTGTTTAAATCAAAATACGATTATAGTTACATAGTTTTTATTTTTTATTTTTTAAAGTCATTTGATAATGCCTGAAAAAAAAGCAGTTTACGCTTCGATTGTATCTCCGATGCCAAATTTCCATGGTCACTACTAACACCGTTATATCACTGGAGTCTATAGTGACAACCTCAACTAGCTATGGTAATGCAATATGACAACTTAAACCGTTGTACACATGTACCATGTTTTACGTTGTGTATGGTGATTCGATGATACCTTCCCTTAAATAATGTATACACAACTGGGATGTGACAGTAAACACAATATAAAGATAATCTTTAATAATATTGTCAGATCAGAATTACAAAAATTTATGTCAGGCTCTGCGTTGAGGTTAGGACCAACTTATGAAATTAAAAAACACCGATCAGCATATATATATATATATACTATGTAGGTATACGATATATCGCTCGAAATGATTCAGCTTTATATATATTATAACCTCTATCAATCCGCTTTGCCAAGAAGTTGAAGATTTTGACTGTTCAAAAAAACCTATATTCATTAAGCTACAATTCAATGAGGATGTGGCTAGAGATGTCCTTCATGGTAGATTAGCAAAAGTAATTGATAAGAAATTCTACGCAACTAATTTTGCGTTGACTTTCTCGCGTCGACCAGTGATGCCTACTCAAAAGAAAGATCAGTTACTTGAGTTGGTCTCCTCAATGTGCATTTAAAAATTCAGCTGCTCCTGTGGAGATAGCTAAATTCGGCGTACCATCAAACAACTTAACCAATGAATAAGCGAATATCTACCAGCTACTCCTAATGAAATAATTTTTCCTCGTATTAATGGATATGGAAAATTGTGTCGTTTAATTGATAGTTACCCAATGATAAATATTGTTTTATATGACTAGACTTGAATACAAAAACTATTGATCGAATTAAAATTTATGCTTTCACTTCATTACACGTAAGAAATTTAAACTGATCAAATAAACAAGGAAATGTTATCATAAAATTTCTGACAACAAAAAATAGAACAAAGACGAAACAACAATAACTAGGACAATTTGAAATATTTGAATTTAAATAAAATCAAAATTCATGTGTTATTATCTTGAAAAAGAAAGAGGTTGAATAAGGTTAAACAAAAAAAGAAGAAACAGAAGGAAAATCCACTGTTAAAAGTAAAAAAAAGGGTTTTAAAAAAACTGATAGATGGAGTGAACAACTATGTGAAAATAAGAGAAAATATTTTAAACTAAATTTGTGGGAATATATATAAGACTTATATATGAGGTTGTATCCCTATTAGTTTGTACATTTCTTAAGATAAAGTGATAGTATCGACTTTGATGAAAATCCTCAGTGGAAAACTTCAAAAGACTTTGTCAATGAAAATAACACAGAGAGATTAAGACCTTTGAAAATGAATAATTAAGTAGCAGTGTAATTTTTAAATAGTTCAGGCAAATTTTTAGTATACTCTCATCTCTGCTTCTCTTTTAAAGTCAAATATTCTTAGTTATGTTAGTTTGTTTGCCGTAATTTTATATAAATAAAACAGTTACTGTAGAAAAAGATCACGACATATGATAAAAAGGAACTTGATAGAGTGATGGTATAAAAAAAAGAATATCTTTTATTCAAAAACAGAAAGAGTATTGGACGTGAACATAAAGAGTATTTATGAGCGAATTCGGATTAAATATAAATTTCTCTTTGGGAAGAAACCATTATTTGTTCTTTATAATGAAAAACGAATAAGAATTGTATTAAAGCATTGTAAAAAGAATGAGGAAAGTGGTCATGCTTAATATAATTGAAAAATATTTTTACAAAAAAAGTATGGTGGTAATGAATAAACTGATAATTGATGCTGTAAGAATAAATAGTTAAAGTTGGATTTCATACTCTATAGTATATATAAACAAGGAGGAATTAATGATCCAAAAAGTGGCCAGGTCTAATACATCGTTCAAAATTATAGCATGTGAATTTAGGATTGTTTTTAATAAAAATCAATAATGTTGTTTGATTAGTTTTATACGTAAAATTAAATTGTGAGATAAACGATCAGAATAAATACAGTTAACATACGATGAGAGATGATAATGGAAGAAATCATGTAATATGTAAAACAACACGAGTGAGGTAAGAATTAGTGGATAGGGTGAATGTCGAATAAATTTCTCAAAACGTTGCTAGCGTTCGATTGGTAATGATAACAGTGATGACGATAATAACAATAATACGGTTTGTAAATAAGTTTAGGCTACCAAATGTGGGGAGGGGAAATTTATTGAAAAGAGTATTTTTCGTTCATAGTTCAGTATTTTAATACAATGCGAATTTTTTTTAGAGAAGAGGAATTCATACGCGTTATTATAAATAATAAATTCATAATAATTTTCATCATATGCGTTTGTAAATAAACAGTAATATTGTAGGATGGTATGTAATTAGATTAAACTTTAGATATGATAAAAATTTAGTAGGAAGATAGAACTGAGGCGATGTGATAAGTCAGTCAGATGCAACGTAGAACTTCGTACGTAAGTACATCAGTTCTTGTTGCCATACCACATCAGCACAGAGATATAATTGTCAATTTAAATCCAATAGTAGTAGAGGTAGTAAAGGTATTAGAAGTAGTCGGAGAGGTTAGGATTAGAAGATATTATTCAAGAAGTATGATTCAGTGAGATAATTTTAGAAAGACAAAACTAGAGGTGTTGAAGAATCCAGAAGATTAGGATTTGAGAGAACACAAAGAATAAATGCACCGGCGCCAGTGCAAACGGTTTTGAGCCATGTCATTCAGGGTCTCTAACCATCAATTATTATCATCTTGCGAACCCCGACCAGGTAGTCGACAACTACCGATATGACTCAGTCCACTTGTCAATGACTTCATGGATCTGTGAGGCAATGTGATAAAGTATAGCTTCATGTTTTTTTTGACATAATCTCTGTTCTAATTTGCTTATTTAAGGTCTAGGCGACCCAGCCATTCTAATAAACTTTGACTCAGCTTTGGAATAAATTATAATTAGCAGTAACTATGTTAGAGTGAGGATTATAAAGATACTAACAAGTGTTAAGTAGAAGCCATCAACTGTGAATATTTCAGGCAGAAATATATCAACCAGTTCCAAACCCGCTATATTCACTTACATCTAGCGCAAGCAATTCAAAATTAATTTATACATATCATTAAGTAAAATATATATTAGATTAACACATTATTTCCCAAGTATATTTCATTAAATGAAGTTCAATTACGTTATAACATATCTAAACTGTATCAAAAGATAGAACTTACGCAACTACAACACAGAAATACTATCAGAAACGTTTGAAACGCGCCTGCCACACCTGTGATCCACCCAACACGAACAAATAATAGGATGCCGAATATATTTTGACAGCAAGGTAGGAAAACACCTAATATGGTTCCCAAACGTTTGTTCTTTAGAAAACCGAAACAAAAGATGTATACAAAAATTTCAATAAGATAATAAAAATATTTTTTACGTTACGGAAAGTAAGTGTTACTTATTAAACAGAATGAAACAAATCTATTGATTACATACAAAATACAACCTTATTTTTGGGGTAAAAGCGCAAAAGCTGTCTAAGGAAACATTCTGGATTGCTAGGCGTTTTCGTGAAATGTTGATGGGAATAAAAAGAAATCCTTGGGTTTCACTTCTAAACTTGTGGACGTAACTTACTAAAGCTGATCCACAAGTGAAAGAAACCTTGCCTTTTTATAGAGAGGGAAATAGTTATCACTCAATGCCTCCGTCACAGGTTATTGACTGTATGATAACACCTAAATTTAAACGTTAGTGAACTTAGACAATAAACTTGCAGCTCCCAGTCGACAAGTACTGTTGATGCATTCGTTCGAGAAGCTCTAACTCCAACAAACACTTGCAGGTTCATTCCTGAATGTAAATAACTCAAATTATGTGACGTTGAAGCAATAAATGTTCGAAAGATATTGCAGTCCCATAGGTTAAAGTTAAGTAAGAATGATTTGGGTTTACAAGAAAAAGTAAGAAATTGTTCAGAATATCATTAAAACTCTAGTCATATCCTACAGGTTTGTACTAGAACTTTCCTATAAGTACATTTTTTCAAGGCTGTTACTCTCATTTTGGACAAAAAGCGATTTAAATGTTGAAGCATAGAAAAGGAAGCACTGAATAAACAATTTTATGACGCGATCAAAACATAATCACAGTAACGGTAAAAATTTCTGTAGCAGTAATAAAACATTGACTAAGAAAAGAAAATAAAGAGAATTTAGATATGATTTGGGATAAAGAATAGAGTCTTTATGCGTAATTCATTATTTTTTAATATTCAAATATGCTACAGTGCCCTATTCTGACTGGTTTAAAGCAATTTCAAAATCCCTGACACATGAACCAACTCTATGAAGTGATGCGTAGTTAAGATACTAGATAACTTATGGCATCAGTTTAACGCATTACATTTAAACCGAATTCTAATTTCACGTTTAAGTCGAAAATTTTACGATACACACCCAGATCCTAACAGATATCTGAACATATTTTGTATGAGTCAAACGTAAAAGTAGGAACATTTATTCGTAAACTCCGAAACTCAGTTCCATGAAAATGTGTTTTCAGTCGTAAACCATACACTGATTGCTCGACAGAGTATATGATTGTGTTATTACAGTAGTAAACAGCAACAAGGAATCCGTTAAATTTGATAGCTGGTTTTTTATTTGTTAAGTAACCTTCAGCAATAAATTTTTTATTAAGAAGCCTATCGCAAATACCTAAAAGACAAAAATTGTTCCGCATGCAGCCAGAAAATGCTAAAAGGCTAACTTACATCACTTGACTTCGTTTGCTTTTCTTTCAGTTGTTTAGTTTCACCCACTGTTGGTTCTATTCCACCAGTATAAGCCGCCAGCTTACCAAACCAGTTACTCATCGGAGGTAATGTCTTATCATCTTCCTATAATAAACAAAAACCAAAGTGGTTTAAAAATTAAGAACATTAGCATACTTTAGTAATTGCCTTGAAAAATATTTTGGCCCACAAAACATCAATTTTAAATTCATCCCTAAATCATATACGAAATATATAATGTCAGAAAATACTGGCACAATTCATCACCAATATATTCTAAAGCCCAAAAAGTTGTATGAACAGAGACATGACAGTCATGACATAGTTCTTAAAATTAAGCAAACAGTTGATAGAACCATATAAAATAGAATGATACTGAAATCACTTCAAACAAGTATTCAGTAACAGTGATAAGTTTTGAAATCAAATATTTCGTACGAATGTAAATGAATCTCTCAAACCCTAGTCTCATAATCCCAAAGTCAACAAAAAGTGAGAGTCAGGGAGACAGGACAATAAATGCGTGTTTCAATCGACAAAATAAAGTTCTTATAATAAACTAAATAGCAGAATAAAGAAATGCACTGTATTACCTCGAAAAGATTAAGTTGTGTATGGTTCTCGTCTTCAACCTCGATATCTTCATCAACAACTTCCGTAGGGATTCCAGCTAATATGAAATAAACAAGATATTTATTACAGATTAGAGTGAAACTGAAAATTTCGAAAGGATGAACTGTATCTCGTCGTAGTAAATTATATAATATCATATATGAGTGTGCTTGCACCCCAATTTCGTGGAGCCATTTCCAAATGTATCAGTAAGTTTGTTCTGCTTAGATGTTTTAAAAAATCTAATGTTATGATGACATATCTACCTACTACATTGCCCAGCAAACAAATGATAATAAATAAGCTCAGAAGTTTGATACGCATTGTAACGATGTCCTGACGACCTTAGAATCCATTTTGGAATTTTCAGACTAAGGATATTAAAAGTTAGCAACACATAAATAGTATATTAAAGACATTCGATTTCAGGATAACATTAGGTGATAAATGCAAATTTCGATAATGCGGGGAAGTTATCAAACTCGATATGTGCGTTTAGAATAGTTAGACTCACCTGAACTCAGGCAAGATAAATAAATGTAAATTACTCATAGGGAATGCTTATTGCTAACGATCTATTATGATTATGTAAGTAGTCAAATGAATGAATTAAGTCCTTGAAATAACATCACTCATTTGGGCCAACCTCCAAACTCTTGATGTTGCATTCTCAAAGTGCAGAAATAGATTATACATATGAAATTTGACACAACAGTTAAAAAAATATCTAGGGATGGAAAAATCAATCGTGTTACAACTAGTTGATAGCATAAAAAGAACTCAAAAATATCTCATGTATTTCAGTCACAATGTTTTAATAATTAGACACTTTTAATCACCACAAATCACTAGACACAATCTGAAAGTACAGTTTAATATTTTATATAAACAGATATCTCCATTGTGTATTTTATTGATAATCAGCATATTATTTGCAAACAGAAAGTAGATCAAAGGTTAAGAAAATCAGTTAATTAAATCAAATAGCAGGATCATTACGGAACTCTATTCAGAGTAACATGATTTACAAAGTTAAACCTCAATTTAGCAACTAATAACGTAATGCTTAAGAGTAACGCATTTTTAAACGTTTTCTTGATTTTACAGATAAAAATTCGCGAAATGATTCGCAGAGAATTCAAGAATGGCATTTCATACTTAAAAGACTTGTATTTTCATAGACTTCATAACTAAAACGTAACCAAACATCATTTACAGGAAACCCTGGTGAACGATTTACCTTAAAGTTCCAACACACAAAACTTGTCTAACGGTGGTGTAACTAGAGAGTTGCAAGTATAGAATCAAAATTACTGACTCCTAATGGTACTTGATTACATGAAGAAACAAATGCAGATCTAAAGTGTTGAGATGTCCTGAATCCATACTAAAAAGCAACATGAATCAAACAACGACCTATTATTCTCAACTGTTTTTCATGTCATATTGGTAAGGAAAAAGATTTGGATGATTTGCCTCAGTTCAAACAGTCTTCTTGAAGTGTCCTAGAGTGAAAACCGAAACTTTAGTCTGGATAAGTGTCCCGTATATCTGTAAACTGATAACGTACAAACTGAACCAATAAACAAGAGACACCTAGTTATTCATGAATGAAATCGTGCAAAAGATCGTTAAATCCCAAAAAGGTTAAAAAGCACTGTTTGTAACCAGTGAATTGTATGAAAGTTATTTTGCTAGATAAGTTTGTATAAAAACTTTATAGGATGAAATCATTTCCTATGTTCGAGTTAGGCAAGATATTAAAGCCGACGATCGATTATTATGATGAATACTCACCATATGCCTCAGTAGATTCCCCCAAGAGTGACAACTTTGCACCCTTTAATTCTGAAGCCTCCACAGACTGAACACTGAACTTTTTACTTATTCGGCGAACACTCATGTCAAATTGAGCGACCCAAGATGAAGTGAATTGAATGTTGGTATGAATGCAGATGTGAAGTTGAAGGTCAAATAGAAGCAACTAAACAAACTGAGTGAACAAAGTAATTTTGCTTTTGGATCTCGAAAAAGACTCGATTGGATAAATCTGAGTCTGAATTCCTGCGAAATTATGTTCTGTCGCGGAAAGAAATGTAACAAACTACAAGATAAACAGTTTTGTTGTTGACATATTTATTTAACGGAAAACTGAGAACTGAACAAAAATATTTATCGTGTATATTTACTCGAAATCAATGAATGGTCCCATTTTCAGGTTTTCCGAAAGGCTGAATAGGTGCTTTAAAAATGTTGCAAGTTTCTTTCGAACCCAGTTGTTTGTTGGTAAATAAAAATAAAAATCTGTGATAAATCGGGCAGTCGTCTTTGGTGGGCGAAGATTGCAGTGGTGAGTAAAACGCAGAAGGGATTCGAGAAAACATTATTGATAGCTTGTGGTCATAGTTGTACAAAATTTAGTGCAACAGCGGAAAATGTGGAAATCGGCAACAACTAATCTACTGATTAAGCCCGTGAGTTAGTATAAACCGATTGATTTCTTCGTTCTAGTTTCTTGTCCTTTAGAACTGCCAAATGGATGTTACTCTACTGGCTTGATGGCATTATTTCTAGTCTGTTGGCTGTTAGTTACGAATTCATATAACCTCTGAATTGCATGACTGTTTTTATCTAAAGGGAGTAGGGATTATGTATATCAGCATCTATCATAGTGTCATTATTGATCTCAGTTAGTTGCAGTGTGGAGAATAATAAGGTGATTATATAAATAAATTATTTATTAATGAAGGTTGGAGTAAAAAGGTGTATACATAGCGGAGGAAACTGAGATAGCCAGCAAAATAGAATAAGTTAATGATCTGAGGAGATAGTAGGAATAACAACTTGGAATTTTTAAGACAAGCATCATGAACAACTGGTCTAAGGGGGAAATAAAATTCCTCATGTGAATGCTTGTTTATGAAATCCGCTCTTGAAGCTATTTATTGAGAGGGCTGTAGTCACTTCGACTGGGAGTGTATTCGAAGTTCATTCAACCTGGACACTTAACAGGATGTTCGCGCTTCGATATTCATTTTTTCGATGGCAACCTCATATGGCGCGGTAAGGATGTGATTTTTGCTTTTGAAATGATTTAGCGCACTAATATTTTGTATGTATTGTCGGGTCATTTCGGATTCTTCAATAACTCAGGGTGAATGATCTCAAGTGTTGCAGTTTGTCTTCTTACAGATTATTCTTTATCCCTAAACCCACTTAGTTAGTTGTCTGTGAACTCGATCAGGGTGATTTACCTCTTTTAAGGACTGATAAGACACTTTGGACTTCAAGGTGTGGCTGTTCGTATGTTTTAATGATAGTTAAGAACGGTTCTATGGTTCCTCTCCTAATTTACCGGTGGAAGCCATAATACAGTTTATACTATGCATTGTGGATTATTTAGAATTCATATTGCGAGCCCTAGGTTACTTTGGTAAATCAGTAAATATAATGCAATACAACTGGTTGGCGTAAAATGACTGACAACAACAGTATATTTGATCCGGTAACAACATTAACGTTTTCTTGAACAAACTTGATATTTATCTTGAACTGTCCATTTTTTCTGGGCAAATATGCATCAGATTAAGAAACAGGTTTACTGTTATTCAAAAATTATTTATATGGACTGCTCATGATAACACGGGTGCTCGAAATAACTTTTAGGAAGCTCTGCGTTCCGAATGATTAATTTTACGCGCTTGTGGACGCTATTACGGTCCTGATGTGCTAGTAAACTCAGATCACTTTGGTCCAATTGACATACATCGTCATCCTACCCATCATACCAAGAAACACATATATATGATCGACCTCATGACTTTGGCTTTAAAACAACCAAAATAGATAACAAATATCCGACGTCACAACCTTATGATGGCTGGAGAGAAACGTTGAATCCTATCAGAACTGTTCGGATTTTAACAAATTTGGAAGGTCGAGCTGTCCAATTGTCTTGGTTTCAACAGCTTCTCGCGGTCCACAGAATCCTAGCTGATCACGACAAGCTCTTAGGGGTCATGGATTCACTCGAGTTTAATTTTATATGCCTTTTGTAGTGGCATGATTCGAGGTTGACAGTTATGTTCCCACCACTAATTATATTAACTCCGCCCCTGGACCCCAGACCCTTCGGGTCTACTGCAGGTCACAAGCCCAGAAAAAAAGGAAGTAGGGTTGGGCATCAGGTTGGCGACCCAATCCCACCAAAAAACTAACTAACCGGAAAAACGCTAATCAGGAAAAATAAATCAGGCCATTTTAATTCTGCCCTGCGAGTTGGAAGAAGAATCATGACGTCTCGTGACGAAAGCCGAGGCTGATGCCTCTTCTAACAACCAGAGCAACCATTTTTTAGGTACATGGAAAGTCCGAACAATTCGGGATACTGGAAGACTATTTCAAGTGGCTGCAGAAATAAAAAGACACAACCTCGAGGTGCTTGGAATCGGCGAAACACATTGGACACAGGTAGGAAAACTGAGACTAGCTTCAGGGGAACTCCTGTTATGCTCTAGTCATGAAGGGAAAAATGCTTCACATACAAAGAGAATTGCACTGATGCACAAGATGGAAATCTCATGGAACCAGGATCATTGAAACAACCTTCAAAACGAAGAAAGACGACATTACAATGAACGTCAACCAATTCTATGCACCTACCAACGACTACAGTAGTGACGATAAAGATCAATTCTACGAGGAGCTGCAGTCAACAGTCGACAGATGCTCACCAAAGGATTTGACCATTCTAACGGGAGACCTAAATACCAAGGTTGACATGGACAACACTGAATATGAAGACATCATGGGACGACATGGACTGGGAGAAAGGAATGAAAACGGTGAGAGATTTGCAAACCTATGTGCCTTCAACAAATTGGTCATCAGCGGCACAATATTCCTACACAAGTGCATACACAAAGCTACATGGATTTCCCGGATCACACTACTCAGAACCAAACCGACCGTATCTGTATCAATAAAAAGTTCAGAAGGACCATGGAGGATGTGAGAGTCAAGAGAGGAGCTGACATAGCCTCATATCACCACTTGCTGATCACCAAAATGAAACTGAAACTCAAGAATCACTTAAAAACTGGGCAGACAACATCACAAAAGTTTAATACGGCCTTTCTTCAGGATACCGTAAGTCTCAACGAATTCAAGATAGCCCTCACCAATAGGTTCCACGCCTTGCAGAATCTACTCAATGGAGAGGACGCAACATTGGAGAACAATTGAAAAGTGATCAAAGAGGCAATCACTTCAATATGTCAGGAGGTTCAGGGTCAAAAGAGGGACCATCACAAGGAATGGATCTCTTGAAAAAGTTGAAGAAAGGAGGAACAACAGGGTAGCAATCAATGTCAACAGAACAAAGGCAGAGAAGGTTAAGACACAAGCTGAATACACAGAAGCAAGGAAAGTGAAGAAGAACATCAAAGCTGACAAACGAAAATATGTGGGAGATCAAGCAATGACGGCGGAAAAGGGTGCAAGAGAAGGAAACATGAGACAATTGTATGATACAACAAAGAAGCTCACCGGAAACCACCGTAAAGCAGAACGACCAGTGAAAATTAAGGAAGGCAAATTAATCAGCAAACACTGAACAACAGAGAAATAGGTGGGTAGAGCACTTTAAGGAACTCCTGAATCGACCAGCTCTACTGAACACACCCAACATCGAAGCAGCATCCACGGACCTACCAATTAATATTGGCGCACTTACGATTTAGGAGATCAGCATGGCCATCAGACAAATCAAGAGCAGCAAAGCAGCAGGACCAGACAACATTCCAGCAGAGGCAATTAAAGCAGAAGTGTAAGCATCTGTGAAAATATTTCACATCCTCTTCAAGATTTGGAATGAGGAACAAGTACCATCAGATTGGAAAGAAGGATACCTGATCAAAATACCAAAGAAAGGCGACCTGAGCAAGTGTGAGAACTACAGAGGCATCACTCTTCTTTCAATACCAGGCAAAGTCTTCAACAGGGTATTGTTAAACAGAATGAAGGACTTCGCAGACGCCCAACTTCGAGATCAACAGGCCGAATTTCGTAAGGATCACTCGTGTACTGACCAAATCGCAACATTACGGATCATTGTGGAACAATCAATTGAATGAAACTCACCACTCTACTTCAACTTGATTGCTTATGTGAAAGCATTTGATAATGTAGACAGGAAATCACAATGGAGGCTTCTTCGACCATACGGCGTTTCTGAGAAGAATTCTTATGATGAATTAAACTGCGAAATCGTAGACGGAGGTCAGCTGAGAAACTTGTTTGTGGTGAAGACCGGTGTCAGGCAAGGTTGTTTACTCTCACCCTTTCTCTTTCTCCTGATGATCGACGGGATTATGGAGACGTGAACACGTGGAGGGAAGCACGGTATACAGTGGACAGATGCAGCTGGACTACCTAGACTTTACAGATGATCTGACCCTTCCATCGCACAAGCAACGACAGATGCAAGAGAAGACAACCAGTTTAGCAGCAGCCTCAGGAGCAACAGATCTCAACGTACATGGAGGGAAAAGCAATATTCTACGATAAAACACAAGCGCCAACCAAATCACTCTTGATGGAGATGCCTTGGAGAACGTTAACTCCTTTACATACCTACATATCTGATTCATATGTGATGGCGCGGATCGGCAAAGCAAGAGTTGCATTTCTACACTTGGAAAATATCTGGAATTCCAAACAAATATCAATCAACACCAAAATCAGAATTTCAATACAAAAGTCAAAACAATTCTGCTGTATGGAGCGGAAAACTGCGAAAGCCATCATCCAGAAGCTAAAAGTATTCCCTCACAGTCGTCTACGCAAAATACTTCGGATTCGTTGACCAGACACCATCAGCAGCAATCTATTGTGGGAGGTAACAAGCCAGATTCCGGTGGAGGAGGAAATCAGGAAGAATCGGTGGGGGTGGACAGTACACAAATTGAGGAAAGCACCCAACCGCGTCGCAAGACGAGCCCTCACCTGGAGCCCTCAAGGTCAAAGGAAAAGAAGGAACCCAGGAACACGTTACGCCGAGAAATGGAAATACACAGGAGAAAAAGGAACAATATGTGGACAAAACTGGAAAGGGTAGCCCAGGACAGAGTAGGCTGGAAAACACTGGTCGACGGTCCATGCTTCTTCGGAAGCGATAGGCGTTAGTAACTGGTCTTAATCCCGCTATGAATCAAAGACAGAGAAGATTTTATCCAGAAAAGGGTGTATATTTTTTGGAGATCTTGTGGTTTCGAAAGAATACCGAGATCGGAATGTCGTGCTTACAGAGTGCCAACCAACATGAAGTTCAGTAAAACAATCACTGATGCAGTTAGTTATAATAATGATTCTATTCAACCAGTCACGTTTTCTTCCTAAAAGTGGAGTCACTACAAGTTCATATGTATTTTCACATCTGAAAAGAAATGTTCCGGTAAATGACTGGGCTTCTGTCAGTTAATATCATTACCTTACTGTTCATATCATGATTAAATATCTGGTTGCTCCAGATTTTTTGAATTTCATAAACGCAATTGGGGTCACATTCATTTCGCAAAATACGAAGATTCATGTGCATTTTTTATTTATCTGGTTTTAACAGTGAGTTTCCCAGTAGTGCTTTCTCTGTATGGTTGTGGATGTAGCTGTCGACAAAATGATATCTCATAAGGGTAGGAGATAACAGGTGTTTATCTTGGAGCCAGAATGTCACACTCACATGCATTAGACGACGATCATCGACACAGATCATCTGCATTGTTCATCTACAACTAAATGCCAATATTCCTAACCAAAAGCTTTCAAATATCTATCTGCACGGACCCAAAAAAATGGAATCATCTACAGCAAACTCAGAGAACATTGAGAATTATAAGGCTGTTGTTGCGTGAATCTTGGTTACAATTTGACATAGAAGACAGTCACATAAACTTTATGAAATAGTGATTATACCTTCAAACAGGGTGCTTACTAGATATTCTCATCTATTCTTCTCGCTAGAATTACGAATCCAATGTAGTTACGAGGTCTAACCGTGATATTAAACTACCCTTATTGGCCAATTATTCTTGAAACAATTAGACCCGTTACAATTTGCTTCTACTTATCGCCGCCATCTGGTTTAGGTACCTAAATAGATACCTAAGAATGTAACGGTACGAGTCCTCATTGGAACCGGCAGTTATCGACTAGTGAAAGAAAGTGACAAAATACTTAGGATGCTTATGAACTACAAGCCTGTTAAGTTAAAACTTCCGACTGACTGCAACTAAGTATGCTTGTCGAGCCTTAGTGATTAATAGTTAGGTAAGATAGATTCTTATCGATGTTAGTCTTAATACTTACCAAAACAATTGCGCAATCTGGAAAATTTGAGCCATCTGTATATGTATGAGGGTACAGCTGTTTGAGAATAAAGGAGAGCTGGTCCAGGCACATTATTCCATGCCCATAAAGTATATTCTGTGGAAGCTTCACTGAGGAATATTTCGGTAATACTTGTATAATATTTTGCCTCAGCGACGTTCGAGGTATCTCTACCCACTGGAATTCAGCAGTCATCAAAAAATGTTTTATCTTCAGGTTGCAGAAATTTCGAATTCGAGCTTATAGACCTCACTTAATTGCATTTTTATTCAGGTGCAAATGTACACTCTGAATCTTATTGTTTCATGTTATTGTAACAAAATAAATGCATCAAGTAAGAAAAGGCCCAATGTCCATTCCACTTTCGCAGTAAACGAGATAGGTTATTTCCGATGTCATGACACGAACTTTATCTTAACCTAAGTCTACCTCGTTTATCATCTCTTTTTCCTCTCCTTTGCTTACATTTCAGTCCTCTCGCACGATCTTATTTATCCATTTATTCACTGAGTTCTGAAATTTTGGTAGCATTAAAACATCCTCCTTATTATTCTCCGTATCTAGAAACCCTACTGCTCTGAAATAAACGTTTTCATTCAAGTCGCGTGACATATAAACTCACAAATATCTATCAGCTGACTAGAATCTGACAGTTTAGTGGCTAGACCTCCATTCATTGGACACTGCCAAACACCTGAAATGGTACCGAAAGAACAAGAATCAGGAGCAATTAAGTCAATTGTTTTATACTAACTCGTGAAAAAGATATTGGATATTTGATTATGTTGTGTCACGAAGGTTTATCAGGGTGACATGCGCGCTAGATTTTAAATGTTCAGGATATTTGATGTTTCCATTGGACGGTTTCTTCTCCGAACTCTCTCAATGTACTATTTTGGTAGCCAGTTAATTATACGATATAAAGTGATTTAGCTTCAGTCCATAGTTCCAAGTATTTGTGATGTTGGAAGACTTGAAAATACGCCTAACTCTTCTTCCGATTATTTGGAATCGGAAGAAGTTTACGCAGGATTACCTACTGTTTTCAACTCAAAACGCATCACAAATGAGCTAGAAAAATGTCTGAAGGCATTAGAAGATATTCCAAAACTTATTGATCAGTCTGTCCGTCCGCTGTTAACACGTATCGAACTACTTGGAATTATTGCTTCTTGTCACAACCTTGTAAGTAATTTAATTATTTCAGTACTTTCCATCTACCTAATTAAACGTATCAAACTTTTTTATTCATAAATTGATGCAAAGCGTATTCTAAAATTCCAGTTCATGAAACTGTTGTACAAAACCACTAAAAATGAAGTGGTTTAAACACAACAACGTGTTCGATCCATGTATTTCCATCATGATTAGCACTAAATTTAAACAGACCTTCAGGAAATAACCACTTACTCTGACCCCTATCAACGTTTTAAATACTCATGAGCAAGACATTTTCTGGTAATCTCACTAGCAAAACATTCTATATAACATCTGGCTTTTTTATGCTATATTGAAGTTTATTAATACCCTCCCCTTGGTTAGCATCGTTCTTTAAACTCGAGCACCTTTATTTGAAGTTTATACATACAGTATTTTAGGTTTGGAAGCTCATTGTCCTACCTTTTTGTTATACAGAAAGCCTTTTGTGATGAATAGACAAAATTTTCGATTATTGAAATCAATAAATAGAATGCTAATAGATAGGTTACTGAAATGATGTAGTGCAGGCGAGTAACAAATAATCACATGATCAGTTCATCAGCTTCAGTATCCAAATGATGAGCGATCGAGACAAGATCATTAGCCAAATAAATCGGTCAGTCACAACTTGAAACTCGATACTCTCTTACACCATACCACATTAGGACAGAGAGAAACTTGTCAGTTCGAACCCCATAGTAGTAGAGGTAGTGGCAGTATTACTGGTAATGGAAAAGATCAGGGATCATTAGTACGAATCAAGGACTTACAAACTAGCGAAATAAATTATAAGATAAGATGCAAACGTCTTAAAAATTCCAAATGCTTAGTATATAGGAAAAGAAAACAAGTAGATGCATCTTTGCCATTGCGAAGGATTTTGAGCAATCAATTCGAATATCAAAACATTTGCATGTGCCACATCTCAGCAAGTCCTAGCTTAACTTCTCAGTCTCATTTTTGTGTTATCTTTTTTAGCACTTTCTTATCATCAGCTTACATAGTGACTAATTAATGATAAGTTTTTTACAAATGAGATGGTCTTTATACTTTTACTGTTTATACTTTTTTTGTTAGTTCGATCTGGAATCATCAATATGGAAAGTAATGTTTAAAATTAGCGACAACTCTGGAAGATTTTTGGATGCTTCTTATGCTTTAATAAACTACTCTCTTTCAAAACTTTTTGCATATGAACAAAATGCTTCAGCTTATGATACCCTGAAGTCTATTCATACCGATGTTTTTTCAGTTCTTCATAACAGGAATGAAATTCTTGAGTCAACACATGAAGCTTGCTTAACAGGTCGGCTCCCAACCCCACATGCACATTTCCAGTCGATAGTTGTATCCCTTGGAAGGGCCTATATCGAACACTACTGTAATGTAAGTTAAACACCTTGCTCTTTAAACGTTTTATTGCAGCACATTCAGTCGTACCTAATGTAAAACATGGTACATGTGTGCATCGTATCAATTTGATACACTGTTAACACATAGAGATTAAATTTTGGAGGTGAACTGCAGAGTAGTAGTATTAGTGATGGTTAAAGGAGATTTGTTGTTGGCGAAGATCTGCTGCCTCATCAACCAATCACTGATTGTGTCAGTCTATAAGAATATACCGATGTCATAGTTCTGTTTGGTGAAGACGCTGAAAGAATGTAGTCTTCTGACTACCCTAAGCAACAACGTAAGCATGTTCGGGATTCGATCCGCCCCCTCAAAATGCAAAATATTGCTTATAGATTGGGTTGCATTGGCTCCTAAACTAGTGATAGGGAATGAAGTAGTACACTTCCACAAAAGATATTGTAGAGTTTTCATATCTTTTTTTGCGTGCACAGATTCTAATGTGTCCGCGTCTCGTTCTACCAGAAAAAATACGTGGAGAAAGATATGGATGTAATGTATGATTTGTATCTAATAGGATAACACGTGCCAAGAGTTCAAGATTTCAGCTGTTTATCTGTAACTATGTTCATGCTGACCTTAAAAGTTCCACTACATCAGTCAGTCAGTCAGTCAGATGCAACGTAGAACTTTGTACATAAGTACATCAGTTCATGTTGCCATACCACATCAGCACAGAGAAGTAATCGTCAATTCAAATCCAATAGTAGAAGAGGTAGTAAGGGAATTAGAAATAATCGGAGAGGTTAGGATTAGAAGATACTATTCAAGAAGTATGATTCAGTGAGAAAAGTTTAGAGAGTCGAAACTAGAGGGGTTGAAGAATCCAGAAGATTAGGATCTGAGAGAACACAAAGAATAAATGCACTGGCGCCATTGCGAACGATTTTGAGCCATGTCATTCAAGGTCTCTAACCATCGATTATTATCATCTCGCGGACCCCAACCAGGTAGTCGACAATTACCGACATGGCTCAGTCCACTCGTCAATGACTTCATGGATTTCTGCCATGTTTTGGTTTGGCCGCCCCTAGCTTTCTTCCAACCTATTCCTACACTACAAAACAAAGCTCGACGAGGCAGTCGGTGGTTAGGCATACGCAACACGTGTCCCAACCACCTCAACTGATGAAGTTTCAATACTTCATCGATTGATCTGCCATTCTCACCTAGCACCCGATTCCTAATAACAGCGTTGCTCACTCGGGTGTCCCACGATATACGAGCAATGCTTCGAAGACACCTATGATCGAAAACCAGTAACCTACGAATATCTTCTACTCTCACTGGCCATGTTTCACAGCCATAAAGTAAGACGGAGCGAACTACTGCGCAGTACACTCGTCCTTTAGTCAGCAAACGGATATCTCGCCTACGCCATAAGTGACGCAGGTTGGCAAAAGCCAATCGAGCCTTCTGTATCCGAGCTGAGATTTCGTCTGTCACCAGGCCATCGGCACTGATGAGACTCCCAAGATAAGTGAAGCGGTCTACACGTTCGACTACTTCACTACCTATCACTAGTTCAGGTGCCGATGCAACCCAGTCTTGAAGCAACATTTTGCATTTCGAGGGGGAAAACCGCATCCCGAACATGCTTGCATTGTTGCTTAGGGTAGTCAGAAGACTCTGCATTTTGTCAGCGTCTTCACCAAGTAGGACTATGTCATCGGCATATTCTAAGTCAATAAGCGAGCCACCTGGTAGAAGGTCTACTCCAGAAAATTCAGACGAGGATAATGTTATGTCTAGGAGCATGTCTATGATAAAATTAAACAAGAATGGAGAAAGTGGACATCCCTGACGGACACCACTTGAAGTAGAGAATTCCGGTGACAGTTCGCCATAAGCCCTCACCCGACCAGTGGTGTTCGAGTAAAGAGCTTGTATAAGGTTAATGTACTTCTGTGGTACACCTTTCAATGACAGACACTGCCAGAGAACCTTACGATCAACAGAGTCAAATGCCGCCTTAAGGTCTAGGAAAACAACTATTGTAGGACGCCTAAATGTGTGTCTATGTTCCAGGACCTGTCGTAGTGTGAAGACGTGGTCTATACAGCCACGTCCAGGTCGAAAACCAGCCTGGTTTTCTCGAGTCTGCTCTTCACGAGCTTTCGTTAAGCGTCGAAGTATTATTGAGGCCAATATTTTAGATACTATATTAGTTAGACTTATTCCCCTGTGATTGTCACAAGAAGACTTCTGTCCTTTCTTATAGATTGGGACAATCAAGGATTGAGACCAGTCGGATGGGATTACGTCCAGTTCCCAGATTCTACCTAAGATCTCAGTCAATCTAGCTAATAAAACTGGACTACCATCCTTAAATATCTCAGGGGTCAGTCTATCAGGACCTGCAGCTCGTCCTCGTTTCAGATTTCCTAACGCTTTCTCAACGTCATTAAGACTAGGGGGACTTACGTCGATTTGCCATTCAGGATGACTGGAGATCGTGGGTAACCGAAGAGTGGCTCGTGGCCAGTTGAACTGATCTCTAAAGTGTTCTGCCCATCGATCCAGTCTCCTGGATTGAGAATGGATAATAAGACCATCCTTTTCCGAGATAGTCTCACTTACACTATGATTCCTAATACCAGTTTCTTTAATAAGGCGGAAAAGTTGTCTAGTGTTGCCTATCGCCGCTGCCTTTTCCATCGCTTTTGCTTTCGCCACCCACCACTGCTCGCGGTCGTTACGCAGACTTTTTATAAGTCTGCGCCTAAGCTGACTACGCTCTTCATCATGCTCAGAGTCAGGTGGGATGCGTTTTCGAGCATCCATCAGTTCGGTGGATGCTACTGAGATCCACGGTTTCATTCTAGCCTTATGGTCAACCTTACTAGCAGATATCACTGCTGTTTCCACAGCCTTTTTGATATCATTCCATCCTGCTTCCGGATGGGAATCGCTTAAATGGTCGCCCAACTGTCTTTCTAGTTGCTCCTGAAATATTTTCTTGGTTTGATTATCATTAAGTAAAACCCTGAGAGGCTTTCTTACGGTGTCTTTCCTACGTCCAGTAAGCCTTAAACAGATACGAGCTCGCACTAGAGCATGATCTGAATCCAAACATGTGCTCCAGAACGAGCGACAGTCTTCTATCGAACCCCTCCAACGGTGGCTGATGGCGATGTTATCTAGTT